AATAATTCGTTCTTATTGCGAAATAGGAGCACTATTTATCAATCTGTAGTAAAAGACGTGAGGAAATTCTGTCTTTTTTAAAGACAAACATTTTTGAGGCAAAATACCCAAAAAGAAGTTTGTAAAAAAAAGATGTGTTTACCTCGCCGTCTGTAGTGTCGTTGCTGCCGCGGCGCTTTTCGCCCGGCCGCAGCCCGAACGTGAGAGCGTAGGCCTCTCTGAAGAAGTGCTCCAGCTTCTTCTCTCTGCGCTGTTTGGTTTCAGCCTTTGCCAACATTATTTCGCGCACCACCTGAAGAAATGGCCAGTGAAGGCAATAGTCGAATTGTATTAAGATATTAGATATTATGTAACGTTAATTGTTCTTCCTTTAGGTGGAATTTCTCCTACCTGAGTCAAGAGCAAGCTCTTCTTGTTGGAGTTGAGAAACAGCTCCAGCTTGCTGATGAACTTCTTCTTGCTGCCAACCGATTCGAATTCCAGCACCAAGTCGTGATCCCTCTGGACGTGGACGAGAATCATGGGCTTCTTCACTGAAGTGACATCTAGGGATTCCTCCACTACCACCGACTCGATGTTTTTGAAGTTGACCACGCGAAGACTCTCGCCCTTTCTTCCGATGATGTGAACGACCGCCTCCGGGCCGAACTTGATCTTGACCAGTCGCTTGTGGTTGGCGTGCAGCCACTCATGGACCATCATGGTCTCGACGGCCAGTTTGCAGTTCTTCGTCTGCAGTTCCTGCTGTTTGATCTTGAGGCGTCGCCTGCGGCGATTCTGCAGCTTGACCACGCCGTATCCAGCGCCGGCACACACGATGGGGACAAAGCCCAGGAAGACACAGGCGTAGATGTACACAAGCTCGTTGCCCTGTAAGAATGTGGTTTAGTTTGCATGGCAGGCACAGAGCAGGAAACTTGCTTCGAAATAGTCGTAGCCAGTGATCATCTGGCAGGGCTCCATCAGGCTCACGTTCAGCTGCATGGGCTGCGCGCACGGATCGCCGTCGTTCCAGAAAAACACGCTCCTCTGGATGGCGCCCGGGGTGATGAAGGTGCTGTTCACTATCACGTCCCACAGGGAGACTTTGCGCATTTCCTCAATTTCCAGCTTAGTGAAAACTCTGCGCAATGCGGGGGTTGTTTTGGAAGTGTACAAGATGATTCTTGATTGATACTCTTACCCATTGGCCTCGTTCTCGAACCAGAACCGATCGGAGTCCCGGAGGCGCACGAATTGCTCCTTGATGACAGTCCTGAAGAGTTCCCCAGGATGTCCGAGACTCTCCAGCATCCCCCCCACATAAACATCCACATTGTCAATGTTGTTCGCGTAGACGTTGGCTAAAGTGTCGAGCAACTGCGGCTTTTCCTTGAAGAGCGCCGGGTTGATTTCCGTCCAGTTGGAGCGCCTCGATAGGCCGTAGAACGCGCGAACCTACAAACGATCAAACTGGTAAGAGTTCGGAATTAAACCAAAAATAGTTACAGTGTTGTAGTCGGGCAGGCCGTTGTCGCGGCCCCTCATTATGTTCAAGGCGCCCAAATCGCGTCTGGAGAACTCCATGGGGCCAAATAGCTTGTCCCTGACGTCCGAACAGAGCACCGAGTCCTCCTTTTCCGCTAGTTGAGACGCCATTCCCATCAGCAGTTCTTCGATTGAGTTGTTCGTTAGAACCTCCTCGTGGAACAAGGAAGCAACAGTTCAAGTACGTGGTAAGAAAACATTTGGACACGATTTTACCAGAGATTAGTAGAGAGATCGCCGATGAGCATAGGTGAAGCGGTCCAGCGATATATATATATATATATATATATATATATGTTGCTCGCGATGTCTTATCAGTTTATATCAACACTAATCGACCGTTGGAAACCCCACTACTTACCTCCCCTACACTACTTCTAACTTGTGTCTTTGTTTATATATTGTAACGGAAATGGCCTGGGGTACTCACGTTTGGAATGGGGAATCGAAATTCATGGTGTTTCAGTAAATGGGAGCCCCATTTGGGCCCCATTTARTGTCAAATATGACACTGACAAGCGGGAAGTTTCGCACCTGTTCTGGAGATTTCTAGAACTATCTGGAATACCTGGAGAAAAGGATATAAGCGACGACGAGAACCAGACGAGGAGTAAAGTGACAGGAGCGACCAAGTGCAGAAGAAGTTAAACTCCGGGAGCCGGAAACGCGTGTTTTCCGTGTGTTATTGTTATTGTTAGTGAAGTTGACGGTAACTTTGAAGTTAGTTTGTTCCTGTTCCGTAGTTAAAGTTGTACCGAGTG